AAAGGATGGATCAATGCTTCGAGAAGCAAACAAATTTACTAGGAAAGAAAGTTGCATCAATTTTTATTTTTTCCAATTTCAATTTTTTATTTTTTATAATTTTTTGTATTTCACATGGCACGCTTTGATTTAGAAGAAAAAATTCAGAACAGTTTTTGACACTTGTGCCTTGGCAGAATTGGATTGCTGGAACTAAGAATACATACGGCCTTTTCGGGAATTTCATGTGAACAAAAGTGCTCAAAATTACAAATCTTCCCAGTTTGTTTTTGTTTTGCTTGTAAATACTTGTGAACAACAATTTATTCACATGGAATTAGTGAAATGCCAATAGTTTGGGTTTCTTTAGTTTTTGCTTTTAGATTTCTTATAGACATTTTTTATCGAAACACGCTGAAAAAAAATAACGTGCTGGCCGCTGTGGTGTAGCGGTTAGCAGTGCGCGCTACCATTCAAGCCCGGTTCAACCCAAAATCCAAGAAATAAAACAACAAAAAAGCTTTTTCCTAATAGCGGTAGCCCATCGGCAGGCAATTGCAGATCTCCGAGTGTACTTCTGTCATGAAAAACAGCTTGGCATAAAAATACAATAAAATAATTGTAATAATGTTGTATCTCGTAAACTTTAAACGGCTAAATAAATGTTTAGAGGATTTGGAACCGCAACCAACTATTTTTAGCATTGTGAAAATTTACAATATGACTGTTATAGCATGTACCTTGCGAATCTTCTAAATATATTCTAGCCGTATAAAGTTTACTATAAAAAAACAATACGCCACCTACGGCTCCAATAGCAACTTGGATTTGCAGTTATGGATAAGCTCCTAATGTCTCGCTAGGACAAAAAAAAGTAAATACCCAGAGCTTATGCCCTTTATTTGCTCAGTTCCGCGCAATGGCAGAGAAGGTTTTGGACTAGATTAGGACGAACTACGTCTGCAGTAGTCTTTCCATGATCCATGGTTGTTGTTGTTGTTGTTGTAGCAGCATACAAATTCCCCAAAGACTTTTTGGGGAGTGTTGCTGGAGTGACAGTCCTTGGCCAGATATAAATCTGGGTCGTTCCGGTTACGTAGACCCGACTGTCGTGGGAACGATCCATGGTTAATATCCCTTGATTTCACAATGGCCAGGGACCCAGATAATTTTTATGCGGAATGTATAACCATATATTTAAGAGTTCGGCGGCATTGAACAACTCTTGAAGTCAGTGCTATTTTCAATTGCGCATGGCCCCAATTTTATCTACAATAATTTGAATGAAATAAGTTTGTTAAATTTAAAAATATATATCGCTCCTTTGCACTAATAACGCCATATCTAAAAAACCAAAACATCGAGAAAAACGACTTTAAAGTATTGAATTTACGTATGGGCCTTCCAGAGAAGACGACACAACAGTTATTAAAAAATGAGTTACATAGATTTTTAAATAATTCTTTAGAAATAGATTTTGATCGATTGATTTTTCACTATTTTCTATTGTTTTTTATAAACATTGCCATAGTGCAACATTCTCTGATATAATATATATTTCGTCAAGTTGTTAAGGCATTCCCTATTAAAGGTAATAATGCAAAAAATAATTTTCCCTAAAGAAAGTACAATTCGTGGACCTTAACACGGTGGTTGTTGTTGCTGTTGTTGTTGTAGCAGCTACTAAGCCCCGTGCGGGGCGGTTCATCCATCAACGTTGTCGTCAATTTCAGCTAGGGGGAGGCCCAGGAAGTGTGCTACTTCCACAGGGGCTGTCCGTAGGGACAGGGGCGCTAGCTGAGTGGAGTTCTCAGGGCATGTGAAGAGGTGCCGGGAGTCATGTGGCGACTCTCCACATGCCGGGCATTGCTTGGGCACATCCTCGTTGATTCTGCTCAAGTAGGAATGCAATAGCAAGAGCGAAGTTGGGCTATTGTAGTGCGGGTCTCCCGAGGCAGACAAAGTTCTGTCCCGTCCACGTCCGGTGGTTGTGTGCCTA